GCGATTAATTGCTTGACAGCCCTAGTAGTATGCCTGCTGCTGTAACTAATAGAGCTGAGCTGCGCTTGCCTTCTGTGATTAGATGCAGAACTACAAAGGGGAAGTGCAGCTATCGTACATGTTGAATAATCAGGGGAAACAAACGAAGTGGCTGCTTGTGCCAGGATGAGCAAATTACCTTTGTGTTTTGTTACTGCCTTCGCTTCACACAGAATGGAGAAATGCGGTCAGTGACTCCACTGATTTGCTCTTTGGTTCATTTTAATACTTTCCCATTGGTTCCATTTTCCTTTTAACTAATGCAGAGAGATTATTTTGGCGCTGTGACTTGTTTGTAACTCAGGAGAAACCTTGTGATGTGTGTTTTGAGTTCACTGAACCAATAGGTGACTTAATTTTTAAATAAAATACCTTTACTGCTCATCTATAAGCTGCTGGCTTTTGAATAACACCACGGCTGTCAAAATTGGCAAAGAACTCGCCTTTTAGTGCATCTTCATACGTTCCGACAGAACTGGCAGGCTGGACCCTGATCCATCAAAACTTCTGCTCACCGTGAATTGTGAGTTTTCCCATTAAAGTCAATGTGACTATTCATGTGCTTCAAGTTAAACACACGCTTAAGTGCTTTGCTGCATCAGGGCCCTAGAGCAACAGCTCAGGCTCATGGAATCGTTCTGTAACGTTCTTCTAGCCATGCAATTGCTGACCATTTTATTTCCTCTCAGAAAGATACAGTTTGCAAATCTGGTCGTGTCGTGGAGTGACATTACCTTAAATAGACGTTTCTCATATAACACAGAATGCACCTGGATTTCTTTTACAAATGTGTGTCATAACTGGAAACTCTTAACAAAAAGCGCCTCTTCAACTGAGTGGATTTTTTTTCTCCCGTAATGATGCAGGTCGAGGTACTTACTGGAGAAAGGAGGCCAGTAGGAGGAGTAAATTAGTCCCGGCTGCATAGCTGTACAATAGGTTTAAAGACCTCTGTGATCAGAAAGCACAGCCTGGTGGACAGGGCCTTGGACTCTGGGGGTCAGAAGACCTGGGTTATCCTATTCCCAGCTCTGTTACTGACCTGCTGTGTGACCTTAAGGAAGTCACTTCCCATCTTCCTCTTCCCCGGTCTCATCTGTTTAGTCTGTAAGCTCTAGGGCAGGTACTGTCTATGTGTTTGTACAGCATCTATCACAGTGGGGCTCTGTTCTCAGTTGGGCTTCAGTTTGCTACCTTATTACAAGTAATGTAAGCTGAAAAGTGTCGGCTGCCTCCTTACAATTTGTGTGTGGTTTTAAGAACAAATCCTGGGAAAGGAGTGTCCTGTGACCAATCAGAGCTGCACATTGTAGCTGATCCTGAGCTGTTAACTGACTGACTTTGGCTGTGCACGGACATAATAAGGGAGGGTGGAGGAGTGATAGCGTGACTTCACAGCAGAGACAGGACAGTACCAAGTTACTGACCACATTGGTGATTTTCTCTCCCCTGTCCCCCTCTCAATCCCTGGTACAGGAAACACAGGAGAGTGCGTGAGCGATCCAGGTCCACTTCTTCATCTTCACCATCTTCTCGTTCGTACAAAGGAGAGGACTACCCAGAGGAGAGCGAGGAGAGGGAGGAGTGTACCACAGGCTTTGACAAATCCCGGCTTGGGACAAAAGAGTTTGCTGGCCCAAATGAGAGAGGAAGAGCTAGAGGGACCTTCGTAAGTTACCCCCTAAAAAAACCAGCAAAAAACCTTTGCATAAGCCTTTGTGCACATTGCTGCTTTTACCAGGTAAAATGTGATCTTAAAGGTGACTGGAAGTACAGTAGTCTGGTTGAGATTCTACGCTCTATGGTGGCTCCCAATCACCAACCCAGCATAAATTCGGAAGATTGAAATTGGCAGTCTTGCTGATGATGTCCGAGACCGTATCCAATCCAGCAGGCTCTAGTGTGTCAGTATTTGCTCAGCAGCACTGGCCGGAGTAGACGAGCTTGTGTCAGAGAACTTACGGCGAAGTCATTTTAATGACTCTTCTGGCGGCAATTGTACTGGTTCCTTTAGCAATAGCTCATGTTTTAAGCAAATATCTCTGCTGTGTTTGTACGTTGTATGTGTGAAATGCCTTCCCTTGCACTCCCTGCACGTGCATCTAAATAGATAGAGATCTGTGTACTTCTATGGGGAGCTATATGATCAGATAAGGTCAAAAATATTAATAGGTAATGAGAGTGTAGGTGTTTGACAGTCTTCCTGTGGCTAGGCTAAAGGTATTCTTGGGAACAGTTAGAGCTACTGAAAGAAAAGACCTAATGCCATTTCTCTAAGCACTTTTGTCTCTACCCCTCTTCTTTTCCAATTCTGTTTGCTGCTACTCCAGTTCAGAGCAAGGGGGAGAGGATGGAACAGAGGCACCTTTTCGGGAAACAATAACAACAACAACAGCAGCAGTAGCAATGACTTTCAGAAGCGAAACAGGGATGAGGAGTGGGACCCAGAGTACACACCCAAGAGCAAAAAGTATTATCTGGTATGTTTCTGAAGAACCAGGATATGTATGAATATGCCTTGCTGTGCATTCTGTCTGCTCTTACAGGTTACGTGTAGTCTTCAGGGAAGAGAGAACCAGCAACGATCAAAGTATCTAAAATACCAGTTCTGGGGTTCTCACCTCACTGCCCCCCATAAGAGGCCTCTAGAAATCTTTACTCACAACTAGGGAGCAGTTGGCTCTGACCATTGTAGAACTGTTTGCCACTAACCAAAATCTGGAGGGCCCAGTAAAAGAACATCTACTCCATGGGCAGTATGGAAAATGCATCTTAACCCAATTAGAATCCAACTCACAGCTCTCTACAGCACCCTGCTTCTTCTGGGGTTGGCTAATGCGATTCACTTTTATTGCTGGCGGTAGCATTTTCATTTTCCATCTGCTAGTCTGGCAAAATCCTGCATGGATTTCTCCCAGGGCTTCATTTTTGAGTTAGTGTCAGCTTTAAATGGCTTATTTGCACCAACAAGCCCCCCACCCCACCCACCCCCCCCGACCCCCCTTCTGTTGGATATTTGAGATCCTGAGATCCCTCTAATCTTTCTTCAGGGTTATTATAAAGGTCATATGTGGCTTAGTCCTAAATCACTCTTGCTGTCCCTTCTTCTGCCCTCTCTCCTAATTGCTGTTGAAGACATAATCTTTATTATATGTTGTTTTGGTCTCTACTTCACTCTCTCCTAGATACAATATTCCGGGTCATGTAACCAGTCCATAAACCTAATCAAAATGAGCTGTCCCAATAGCATCTTTCTCATTTTAAAAAATCCGTTGTAAACATGACATACACGTTGAAAGAGCATCTGAAAGTGGGTGCGAAGCTGTTCAGAAGAGTTAGTTAGGCGGGACAAACATAACTGCATGTAAAATCCTCCATAAAATAACTTCCTAGCTGTAAGCACTGATTCATCTGCAGGCCCATTGAGTCTGGAGTGTGTTGGTGCCCCCAGTGTCCTACCTGGTCCTGAAAACTGCTAAAAGCTTTGTGCCAGAAAAAGAAGCACACGTGCCCAAAAGCAGAGGGAAAAGTAAAGCATGGTTAGTGAGCAGTGCCCTTCCAGCCTCAACCAGTGGGGCAGCTACTCTCAAACACAAACATGTACTTGTACTCCTTTTATGTACTGAATTCACTATTCATCCGACCTGACACACGTTGCCTAAACAATAAGGGGATCTGATTTGTGTTGCAGTATTTCACAGCTTAAGTCGGGGTTATTTTAGGGGATGATATTGTGCCTATTTACGTTTTTACTGGTGAAAGTGATTTGCGAGTGTCGTCTGACCTGGCTGATTTCTTTCCTGTGCAGCACGATGACCGGGAGGGTGAAGGTGGTGAGAAGTGGGGGAACAGAGGTCGAGGCCGGGGTTCCTTCCCCCGAGGGAGAGGTCGTTTCATGTTCAGAAAATCGAGCACTAGTCCCAAGTGGGCCCACGACAAATTTAGTGGAGAAGAGGGAGAAATTGAGGATGATGAGAGTGGAACGGAGAATCGAGAGGAAAAGGACAACCTACAGTCAGCTGCTGACTAGCCAGGGAGTCTGCATGTCCCTGAGCACCCTGGCAAGGAGGAAGAGGATCCGGCAAGGCAGTGTTGGAGTCTCTGCCAGGGTAATGCTGAAGTGCTGAACAGAGCTCTGCCGAGGAGCTTTGAAATTATCTTAAGTTAACTGCATTTTTAAAATTCAGCCTCCGTACATGTGGACTGGGACTGATCACTTACATTCGGATCCACTCTTGGAGTATATCTTTCTTCCCAAAGACTTTACCTGCTGGACTGAATAAGGTCCAATATTGAGTGTGATCCTAAATTTTGTCTCTTGTTTGTGACCTTATTAGATGGTCAGATATTTTTTGGCAACAGTCTTTGAAGACGGTGTGGATTTCAGTTTGTGCCCAGTTTAGCCCAGTATCTTGACATTTTTTGTTTCTCTTATAATTTGAGATGATAAAGGTGGGGATTAACTCACCTGCTTATTTTTCTCCCCTCTTGTGTATTTTGATTTTTAAATTCATATTCTACTTATTTTAGGCCTTTGCGTATGTAGTAACACCAATTAAAGATGGCTATTTTTGGTTCTTATAAGAAAACAAGCACGTGAATAAACATCTAAATGTTAACTTGGAGTTGGGACCAAACTGCTATGATTATTTTTAAAAACTAATTTTTGTATGTATCAGTTGAGTTTAGAGTCTTTTTAAAACCACCTTATTTTTTTCTTTTATGCTGAAAGTTATAGTTAGCATGGCAAAAATGCCCCCTGCTCTTCACCCATTTTAGTGTGTATGCCGCTAGACCTGGTCCTTGTGTGCTGGAATCCCACGCTGCTTGTAGGCATTGTGTGTATCCTCTTTGCAGCTGGTTGTGAACTTGAATGTTCTTTCCAGGGTAACATAGTTTTCTAAGCAACTGCTGAATTCTACTAGGTTAAAATATATAAAAGGAGAAGAATTTTTTCAATATTTTTATTAATCTTTTTCTAAAACAAAAAAGCAAATTCCTCCTGTGCTGGCTAAGGAAAGTTGTGGTTTCATTTACCTTCAGCTTGACATTTACAATGTTCTGAAGAGGTTTAGCAAATAACTCTGTGGTCAGTGAGTGTGTAGGGAGGAGAGGCCTATTCATGCACAGGTTTAGTGTGTGCACATGTAAAAAGACATCAGCCGCTTCCCCCCTCCATCTCTGCCTTCCCCAGGATTGCTGTGCCCCCCTTCCCCCATCACCTGCTAACTATAGTTTGTTTGACATGAACAGTTCCTGTTTAGTAAACCCCTAAAGTTTGTTTCAACTCCTCATGCAAATAAAAATACAATAAAATAAGCCGTAGGTGTAACTCCAGTTTGTTTCTCATGCTGAGTACGGGGCCGCCCCTTGCACCAGACCTTTGCCTTCCAAGTGGAGAGGGGAAGCCAAACGTAGTAAATGCTGTGTGCAGCAACAGGGTAGAATCATAGAGCAATTGATGTTACTTGTTGGAAATGGAGGCTTTAAAAACTGCTGACTGATCTGGAAGAGAGAAACTGGAATCAACCATAGTGACGCAAGGTGGGGGAGGGAATTCTGAGCTGATGTTTTTGTGGTTGTCTCCATTGTTCAACTGTTTGCACTGACTGCACTTAACTCCAGTTTTAATTAAAGTACAGAACCAGAAGTTCCTAGGCCACAGGGTTAGCTAGGTGTGGAGGGCTGTACTTAGAGAGAGAGACAAGAAAATTGACCGCGTTCATCATTTCATTCTATAGTGTAGAAACGAGACCTGCTCTGAGGAATACAACAAGCCTTCTCCATGCACTCACTGTTGCCTATATTATTTCAGATGTTACTTTGGTGCAGTACTATAGTAACACATCTAGTAAGGGATTATTTATCCCATAGATTGTACAGTACAGATTAGATACAGTAATCAGGCACTAAGTGGTTATTTGTACCTTGAGTGCTACACTTTTCCTTAATGGTGATCAGTTAAAACATGCCTTTGCCTAAATGATTATGGATTTGCCCACTGGGAATTGTTCACTGCACAGTCCTGGCCAGGACGCTGCTGACTTTCACACAACTCTCTCGCAAAGACTTGGTTTCTTAAGCAAATGAAATTCTTAAGAACTGGGGCAGGTTTTCTTGCTTTAGGGTGGGAGCAGCACTGGCAGGTACTGTTGTAGCGAACCGCATGCACCCTGCTTTTTCTTGAAATATGGTTCTTACCATTCTGGATCACATGGCACTGGGAGGGCAGCTCCACTAACACTTTGATGTTAGAATATCAGTGTATGCATCCAGAGGGAGTGTCTACTACACCCATCATCACCTAGTTTCTATCTGCACCATCTTTTTAGCATCTGCAGCAGCATCTCACCAGTCCAGTTCTTGTCTCCTGGGTTTTATTGGAGTGATGAGGGTATTAGAGCTGCAGGCTGAGGAGTGTAAAAGTCCAACGGCTTCCTTTTCAGGCTGAAAAGCTTTTCTCTTTGACTTGCTAGGAGTAGTAAAAAGCTCAGTAGCTTTAAAGGGTACTCAGAGTATTGTGATACTGTCTGGTGAGAGATGCTTATGACGGGGACGTGGAGAAGAAACCACTCACCTGCGTGCTCCAAAAATGAGCTTCCTCAGTAGAGAGAGACTGAAGCTATAATTGGTCCCCACAGTCACCAATAGGGTGACCAGACAGCAAATGTGAAAAATCGGGACAGGGAGTGGGGGGTAATAAGAGCCTATATAAGAAAAAGACCCAAAAATCAGGACTGTCCTTATAAAATGGGACATCTGGTCACCCTAGTCCAATCCAGTTTGCCATCAATAAAACAAACCGCTCCATAAACTGGCAGAGACTGAATTGGTAATTCCATTTCACTGGTGTCGAAGTTGAAATATTGTCTCACTGATGTCACTAACTCCTTGGTACTGGAACCAGAGGGGTGTGGCGATAGGTGTGCTCAACAGAAGTACTCGTGGTTAACTTAGAACTGTAACTCTCTGAAAGTTACATATTTAAACATGAAAATGTGGTTAACGCCCCCCCCAAATATGGGGTGCAGTCATGTAAAAAGCTGTTAAATGTGCTCACAAAACCCAGATCTGAAACCTGTCACCTCACAGAACCTGGGTATTGTAACACCTAAATAGGAAAGGATCAATTTTCATCCCAGATCAACTATTGGCCCAGTGTCCTCTTACTGCAGCTGGCCAGTACCAGCTGCTTCAGAGGAAGGTGCCAGAAACCTAATGTACAACTATCAAATTACCTTTCTGTGCAAACAGAATTATATATATATATATATATATATACACACACACACACACACACTGCTTTAAAGGGCCAATTTCACAAAGCTGAAAACAATTGAGCCAACTCAGCTGGGAAAAACTGAAGCAGAAAAATGGGTCAAAAGCTGGTTAACTGAAAGCTCTCAAGGTGCAATTGTAAATGGGGAATCGCCAAGTGAAACTGCCTCCTGGATCTTCTGTCACAGTTGAAGTCAGTTGCTGCCACTCCTGGTCTGACGTCCCCCTGCAATCAATGAATACGCTGCTCTGTGCCAGGTAGATTCCAGCCTGTCAGTAGCGCTAGCAGCCCCAAGGGGAGCCAGGGCAGTGAAGTTGGGGGAGAACTGGAATGAATTGCTCTGGTTATCTGCTCACAGCCCATAGAGGGAGCATTAGGGCTAGAGGCTAATTACTCTTTGGTAATTCTGGAACATCCCTGCTCTTGCCTGCAGTGTTGCGTCCCGCTGTGCCTCTGCCAGATCGATAACGAGGATTCACATTAGGACAGGCCAGTGGCCAAAGCTCTGGAGAGGAGCATAGGGACCACGACTGCACAGACCTAGATCACTTACCCACGTGTATGCAGCCAGTGGGGGAGAGGACTCAACCTGAGTAATGCAGAGTTGCTGAAGAGCAGCGTGAAGGCACAAACTCTGTAGTTTCAACCTGCAGCCAATGGGCCGTGTCCCCTGAGACAGCAGCACGGGTCACTTGCAAAAGCCGGGTCAATTCCGAATCATCAGGCCGAGGCACCTGCCTGTGGGGAGAGGGTTCTGTGTCTGAGCCGACCTCTTGGAACTTCCCAAAGACAGCGTGGAAGGCGATTAGGTGATCTTGGGGGGAGGAGGGGACCAACCCCTCCTCTGCCACTTGTCCCATAGGTCATGCAAATGGGGTAAGATGCAGGTGTTAGGCAGGGTGCAGAGATGGTGGAGAAGGAGCTCTCCCGTTCCTTGTCCCTTTGCCAGACTGGGGTTTAATCAACCCAGGGATGTGTGTCATCAGGTGCTGTTTAATTTCCTGTATTTCCTTCCAGCCTTTGCTGTTCACTCTGCTACTCGTATCCAAAGCAAATGTCTCCTTTGCTGATGGGCGGGTGCTTCCTGCCCCATCGTCTCCAGTAATACCCACCCAGACGCGAGGAACCATGGGGTGGGGAAATAAACGCAGAGGGGGGATGGGCTCATATAGTTAAAGTTTCTTTAAAAAACAAACCAACACAAATAAATGAATCAGCGTTACTTGCCCTGACAACAGGGGCTCAGAGGTGACACGGTGTGTGTGTGTGCCTGGCCTGGCCCCAGCCCTCTGCGATTGTGAGGGGCCTGATGCCCCACGGGGGCTTTTCAGACTAAACCACAGAGCAGAGCCAAGGGCTGCACATCCCAAAGTCCCAGCTCGGCGCTGTGCGAGCAGCAGCCCCTGACTGTCGGCCTCGTGCCCCCTCAAGGGACAATCCAAAGGCTCAGCACCCAAGGGGCTGGGTTCTCATCTCCCCCCCGGACTCCATTTCCAAGGGAGATGGCAGTGGGACAGGAAACGCGAGGTCTTGGGCTGCAGATGCAGGAGCAAAGCAGACGTCCCTGGCGGCTCTCGCCAGTGACCTCCGTCAGGGCCCCCTGCAGTAGGTCCCCGCTGGGCTCTTGGCAGGACTCGGGGGGTGGGGAGGAGCAGCTCTTGCTCGGGGACAAACCCCAGCCCTGCTCCATGAGGCTGCAGGCGCCTGGCCTGAAATGCTCTCACCTTAGCCGAGGTCACACTCCTGCTAACCTGTTAGGCAGCTGAGCCCAGCCCTGCAGCTGGAGAGATTCTTACAGCACGCCTCTCCCCATGAGCTGAGCGCCTTCCACCAGTGCACAACCAACCCATCCGGCGGGGCCGTTCCCTCCCCAGGTGGAGACACGGGTGCAGCAGATTCCTTCCGGATGCCCCTGTAGTCCCGATGTATTGGATCAAACTCTCTGACCGCAGCCTCTGGACTAGCCCGAGTGAGCTCTCGGTGCACGGGTTCAGCAGGGCTCCCTGCCCCAGCACAGCAGGAAGGAGAGAGACTCATCACTAGCTCGCCTGGTGACAGCGGGCAGTGTCAGCTGAAGTCCTCAAGTTGTTCCCAAGACAGAGCCCCTAAGTCCTGCCCTGTCAGCGCACCTCCGCCCTTCCCTGGCTCCAGCCAACCACAGCCATGGAGCGTATTTCCTCACATGCTATCCAGGGCTCTGGCCCCTCCCACCTCACCCTGCCCAGGGACTTTTCACAAAATACACCCCGTGCGGTTGGACAAACTGCCCCTTGGACGCTGCCACCAGAGCCATTGGGGAATGACACCCGTGCCATGGCTGGACCCCAGTGGGAGAAGCAAGAAGGGGCTCTGGGCTGTGCTCCAGAGCCAGTCACGTAGGCTGCCCTTCTCGAACAGCCCTGGGGGGCAGCCCACCACCGCTCCAGTGGCCCGGTGATGGGTGCGGTTAACCCGCACAGAGCAGAGCACTGCGCCCTGACTCGGCGGGCCCCTGCCTGCCTGGAGCACAGCATACTGGGATCCCCGCACAGCGGCTGGGCCACGTCTGCCACAGCCGGAGCCAGATCTAACGGGCTCCTCCCAGCCACGGCTCTGGGCTGCTCTAACGCTCACCCAGAGGCTGCTTTGGGGGCTGGGGCCTGTCAGGCCCTGCCGGGGCGTCTCTTTGCACCTAGCAGATGCAGAGGTGTTGGGGCAGCAGCCAGCCCAGTGGAGAGGGGCTGCGGGGTTAGAGCCAGGGTCTCCTGGGTTCTGGCCCCTGCTCTGTGCCACCCTGGGCAAGTCCCTTTCCCCTCTAACCTGGGGCTGAGCTCAGGGGCGCATGGTGGCTCTGCTCTGTGTCTAGGCCTGGGAGGCACAGGGCAACACTGGACACTTCCCTGCTGCTCCTCCCAACCCCCCGATACCCACACACCTGGCCTGGCTGGGAGCCCCGTCCCTCGCCTTCTTGCTGTGGTGTCTGGGCTTCCTTCCTGGGGCCGGGGCACAGCCCCCTTAGCCCGTCCTGCATGCTGGAGGCTTCTGCCTGGGCTGGGACCCTGGGGAGTGGGGCAAGGCCCTGCTCCTGCTGCCTGGCCTGCAGCTCTGGCAGAGCCAGTCCTGCCGTGCTGCTGCCTTTCTCCCAGTTCCCGCGGCCCCGGCTCCTCCAGGCTGTAAAAAGCCCCGTCACCTGCACTTATCAGAACCGGCCTCGCCTGTTTGCCTCCCGCAGCCCGGCCCCCACGCCAGGCTTGTCATAACTGGCATTCCCCTCCCAGCTCCACGAGTCGCTTCTCCCTGCTCCGCGCTGGAGCCTGCCAACACGCTCTCTAGCAGGAGGCTGTGGGAACCACCATGGGTACGTAGCCCGGGGCGCTGGGGCTGGTTCGCCCAGGGCGGGGTTCGTGGGGCCCATCTGGTCAGGGGGGTGGGGGGCAGGAGACGTGCCTGGGGACATTGGGCGCTGCCCACCTCACCCCACAGACACTCGGCAATCCATGGATGTCACCGTAACCCTTGTTCAGGACAGACGGGAGCAAGCCAGGCTGCCCGTGACGCTGTGGAGTGACACTGAATTATTCGGGCTCGGGGCTGGGCCTCGGCTGAGCAGCCCCTTCAGCAGGGGGGCCTCTGATCCCACGCCCGTGTGTCACTGGGGCTAGCCAGCTCCCTGAGCTGAAAGCTTTGGCTTGTGTAGGGACCCCCTGCAGGGCTGGCTCGTAGAGCTCACTCCCCGTCCACACGCTGAGAGGGGAGAAGCCAGGCGCCTGCTCCCAAATGCTCAGTAGCCTCCCAGCCTGGGGAGTGCACACACACACACACACACCCCCGGGGCCCAGAGACCACGTCGCCTCCTCCCCTCTGGGGCCCAGGGACCGCGCCGCCGCCTCCCCTTTGGGGCCCGGGGACCGCGCCGCCTTCCATCCCCCTGGGGTCCGGGGACCACGCCGCCTCCTCCCCTCTGGGGCCTGGGCAATGTACCCACCTCCTCCCCTCTGGGGCCCAGGGACCGCCCCGCCTCCTCCCCTTTGGGGCCCGGGGACCGCGCCGCCCTCCATCCCCCTGAGGTCCGGGGACCACGCCGCCTCCTCCCCTTTGGGGCCCAGGGACCGCGCCGCCCTCCATCCCCCTGGGGTCCGGGGACCACGCCGCCTCCTCCCCTTTGGGGCCCCGGGACCGCGCCGCCCCCCACCCCCCTGGGGTCCGGGGCCCACGCCGCCTCCTCCCCTTTGGGGCCCAGGGACCGCGCCGCCCTCCATCCCCCTGGGGTCCGGGGACCACGCCGCCTCCTCCCCTCTGGGGCCTGGGCAATGTACCGCCCCCCTCCTCCCTGGGGCCTGGGTAGTGCATCACCTCCTCCCGCTCTGGGGCCCAGAGACCATGCTGCCCCCCATTCCCCCTGGTGCCCGGGCACCACTCTACTCCCCTCTGCCCGGGGAGCACGTCACCTCCTCCCCTCTGGGGCCTGGGGACCACTCGCTCCCTGGGGAGCACGTCACCACCCCCCTGGGGTCCGGGCAATGTACCGCCCCCTCCCCCCTGGGGCCTGGGGAGTGCGTGACCTCCTCCTGCTCTGGGACCCGGGGACCACGCCGCCCCCCGCCCCTCTGGGGCCTGCATGAGTTGTCCCCACCTGCACCGCCAGGCCCTTGGCGTTACTCGGCAGCTCAAGGCCCTGCCCCACTGAGCACCTGCGCGCCAGCCCCCGCTAGCGTAACTGTTGGCTGTAGAAGTGCCCAGACCCAGCCAGTCCTGGCCCCAACGGGCTCACAATCTAACCGAGGGGGGGAGGCTCCATCCAGGTGAGCTCCAGCCCTGATGCTCGCGCCCCCATGGGCAGCACAGAGAGATGGCTCCAGGCCCTGCGCCCTTGCACCAGGCTAGGCAAACTGAGGGCAGCTCATGGGCTCAGGCTCCCGCACTGGCCCAGCCTTGTTCAGGAAGCTCCGCTCCTGCCCCCACGGGTGCCGAGCAGAACCCCCCTCTCAGCCTCCCTCTCTCCCGGTGCTAGGGGAGGTCCTGGTTCTGGTGGATTTTGCTGGGCAGCGGGATGATGAGCTGCAGCTGAAAGCCGGGGACATCGTGCAGAAGGTGGAGTCGGGCCCGGAGGAGGGGTGGCTGCAGGGGGAGCTGGCTGGCAAGACGGGGCTCTTCCCCCGGCAGTTTGTGCAGGTGAGTGGGGGGATCCTGTTGGGTTACGGACGGACACGCTGCCACGCAGAAGCGGGAGCACTTCCCCTGCCCTGCCCGGGGCACGGGACCATCTTCCACATGCTCCTGACCACAGCACGGGGCCCATCTCACGGCTGAATCCACGTCTTGCCTGACTTGCCCACACAGCCTGGCGGGCCGGGCTTCGGAGGTGGCTTGGCAGCTTCCCAAAGCAAACCTGACCTGGGCGGGAGACCGAGTGCATCCACCCCCACAGGTGCGCATGCCCACGCCCTGCAGCCATCTGGAAGGTGTGCACATCGACACACACCTGCAGGACTCCAGAGCCACCTACGGCCTGATGTTCGGGGGTGCTGGGCAATCAGTGTGCAGCTGCAAATCATGCAATGCAAAACAGGCCCCAGATCCTCCAGTGTCCCAGCATTCCCCTGGGCCTCTCTGGGGGGCAGGGCAAAGGGGCGGGGTCCCTGGGACACACCCTCCCAAGTCACCTATATAAGCAGGACAGGCAGCTGCTTCCCCTCTCCTAGTAACTACTGCCCAGATGGCTGCTGTGGGTGGGGGCTGCTGTGCAAGACGGGTGAGCTAGTGGGAGCCGGCTCCTTCTACAGCCCATGGCTAGAGGTTGCCTCAGGAGCCCCCCTTCCCTTGGGCGGGGCCTTCTGTGGCATTTCTCTCTGGATAATCCCAGTGGGTTGCACCTGGAAATGAGCGAGGGCTGATGCTGGTATTGGCCCTGCCTGGGGTGGGGCTGGGTCCCCCCAGCACTGGCTGCTTTCTGTAGATATGGGGTATGGCTGGTGACCCTGGCGTTTTCTTTTTCTCTTCTGCGACTCCAGCCCAGGGCTGGGAGTCAGGACACCTGGGTTCTATTCCTGCTTTGCCCCCACATGTCTATCTGTCCAGTGGGGCCCATGCTCTGTGTCCTGGGTTAGGCGCCACTGGCTGTTGTGTGGCAGGCCAGCGAGGACTAGCGAGAGGGAGGGGTTAACTCCTGGGGAGCCCTTCCTCTAAGATGTCTGGGCTGCCCTAGACACTAGCCAGTGGGGGATGCAATAGACCCACCCAAGTGCCCCCAGTGCCTCTGCAGTGTGCCCCAGGCTGGCCCTTGGGGCTGGTGCTACCCTCCCCCTCCATCTGAGACCGGCACCTCATGACCCCTGAGCTTCCGCCATTACCTGGGAGCAGATCTCCAAGGTTGCTCCGTCCCTGTGGCTGCGGGAGTTTCACTTCCGAGGGGCGACAAGCTGCCGTGGGTTTCACATCCCCCGGCCCAGCACGTCGGCTCCTTACCCTGCCTGTGCTCTGTCTGCCCCAGGAAATCCCAACGTCTCTCATGGCTGACAGAGGTCGGAGGTGCCCCCGCTCGACCCGCTTTGGTGAGTGGCTGGCGCCGTGCGCTGGCGGGGCCCCTCGGGCAGGGCGTGCCAGAGACCCAGGGCCTGGGACACCAGTGTAAAGAGCACGGTTTCCAGGCTCCCTCACGCGCGGGATGCTGGGGCACGAACCGTCGGGTGGGCGTGCAAGTGGTGGGTGCCAGAGTAACTGGGTGGGGGAGGGGAAGCTGAGGACTTAGGGTTTGAGATTGGTGTGGAGACGCACCTGAAAATGGGCCGGTAGCTGGAGAGGTGGGGGCTGGGTGCCAGGACTCCTGGGTTCTATTGCCATCTCTGCAAGGAGGCTCCAGGGTCCCTAGGTGCTTCGGCTGCGGGGGGCTCGGTTGAGCTGTTGGCAGTGCTGGTGGCTCTCCCATGCATGCGGGCAGAGTGTGGGCGTGGTACTGCCCTTTTCACTGGTGCAGCGTCACCCGCCCGTCCCAGACTCGCTGCCTCCTCATCCCGCTGGAGGCGAGCGGCATCCCCAGTCTCTGTGCCTTGGCCAGCCGGGTCCCCCAGCTGGCGCTCCCAGGTGCCCTGACCGTATCTCCTTCTCTCTCTCCCCCCACCCCCCTAACTGCGTGTGCTGAGCCCTGGGGGACAAGACCCCTGCTCCCTCTATCTTCCTGGCCAAAGACCGCTCCCTTCCCCAGAGCTGGGGTGGGGCCCCCACGTGGTCCCCATAGGGCTCTGTGCCATGGTGGCAACTGTCAGCTCGGGACCCTTCGCTCATCAACCCGTAGCTCTGCACAGGGCCCAGCTGTGGCATTTTCACCACCTGCCAGGCAAACCTGTTATTGACACGCTGGCCTCTGATTGGCTGACCTACACAATGGGCCTGTTCTCCAACCCAATGGGAACCCAGCAGATCACAATGGGTCTGGTGGGGCGGCAGCATCTCTGCTGCACTAGGGCTGGGGAGGGAAGGCACCATGCCACTGACACCTGCCCTGCCTGGGCTCCCTGCGGTGCTGCCTCAGCTGTGGGGCGCGTCGGCTGCCTTCCCCGTAAGGACCTGAGCCTGCTGCCGTCGGCTCAGGACCCGCTTGCTGAACCGCCTCCTGGGGGCGGGGGCAGGAGGGGGAGCCACTAGGGAGCACCATGCCGGGGGGTGTGGCTGGCTCCTGACTTGGGGGCAGCTGCTGCTGTTTTTCCTGCCCTGCCACTGCAGTGTGCCAGGACCCCCTGCCAAGGCCTCAGTCACCTGCTTGGGCCAGGAACCAGTGTGGGGGGCAGCGTGGAGCCCATGGGGGTTCGGGGCAGGCTGTGAGAGGGAGGGGGTGGGGGCTCTTCCAGCAGTAGGGAGGCAGCCAGGTTTCCTGCTGGGGGGAGGTGGGAAATGGGCTTCCTGCCTCTTACCCCCGAAGGCTCTGTGTTTGCCGGCTGAGCCGCAAGGGGTGTTGAGCTGAGAGGGTCCACCTGGGGGGGTGGGGGCAGTGTGTAGGGGGAGCGAGTTGGGCCTGGCCATGCCAGACACTGGCACCTCTCTCCTCCCACCCCACAGCCTGGCCTCCCTCCAGCGAGACTGGCCCGGGAGGCGCCGGCCCTACACTAGCAAAGCAGCGCACCGTGGACCGAGCCATCTCCTGTCGGGGGGCAGGGCTTGAGCTCCAGAGGGTGGGCAGAGAGCTCGAACTAGGGTGGGGGGTGGGAGTCTCCTAAGCTCCACCTACAAACCAAGCTCCATCCCCACAAAGCAGCAAACGAGGTTCCCAATCATCACACCATCACCCTTCTTTGTCCTCTGCTTTGATCAGCAGTGAAATGGTTATCAGGGCTGAGACCAGAAATGCCCTCATTAGGTTTCAGAGTCAACCTCCCTTCTAGTTGCACAGGGCAGTTCTCCACCTCTGAGTTCTCGTTTCTGGCTGTCTGCAGACTCAGGCAGGCTGGCTGCCTCGCTTCCCACTTGTTATAGGGGTGAAGGAAAGCTTGAAAACCTGTCAGGGCTCCAGACCTTACTGTTTAGTGAGAGCTGACATTGTGGAGCGCAGGGGGGCAGCGTCTGGGGGAGAAGGGTTGGTTTGACACGCTGCTGGGAGTCAGCCCCGTTCCTGGGGTTACCAGGATTTGCAGTGGGGCAGTCAGAGGAGTGGGGGGAATCCCAGTGCAAGCAAAGTCTGGGGACCCCTTATAAGCTGAGCCGTGAAGCCCCTAGTGCATCAGACCAAGGGGTGGGGTACAGTCTCTGAGCTCTTCCCCCGGCAGGCACTGTGCAGCCCGTCCCCCAGCCTCCCCTCCCTGAGTGACGTGTCTCTCCTGCTGTTCCCACGCCAGCGAAGAAGCCACCGGTGCAAAGGCAGCGCTGGTGCAAGGTGAACTTCAGCTATACACCGGAGAAGGCGGATGAGCTGCAGCTGAAGGCCGGGGAGCTGGTGCAGATCCTGCAGGAGGTGAGCAGGGCTGGGGGGCACCTGCCGGAGCCTGGGAGCGGAGACCAAGGCCCATGTGCCTGGGAATGGCTGTTGGGGGCGGCAGGGGTACAGGTGCATTGTTCCTTCCTGGGGGGCAGGGAGCAGTGGGAGGTGGCTGGAGGGTTGTTTCCATCCCCTGGCACCTGTGGTCTGCCTGTGCCTGGGTCGCGGTGCTGTCTGCAGGCACTGCTGGGCAGGGACTCTTTAGGCCAGAGCCCAGCGGGGACAGGGACCAGGCTTCAGTTAGCTACGGTCCTGCAGCAGAGGGCCAAAGCCTGCCCCTCCCCTCTGTGCCATGAGGGTAGCAGTGAGGCCAAGCGGGCAGGGCAAGATCTGCTTCCCAGCTCCACCGGAGAGGTGTGCACAGCTCCCACCCCTCCGTGCAGCAGGTGCAGTGCCCCGAAGTCTGCTCTAATGTCTGCGTTGGGAGGGACATGGGAAGGCCAAGCAGGTGGGGAGCTGGGCAGGCGATGGGAGACCTCAGGAGGGGCAGCCTGGCCCCATTCTAGCCCCTCTGGATCTCCTGTTCAAGCTACAAGGGCTGTGTCGCCTGGCATTGAAATGAGCAGCCATGTCTGGGGTGGGGTCTGGCTGTGGCGTAACGGCACACAGCAACGCTGTGGGTCAGGACCAGGGGAGGAGAGGCAGTCTGTGTCCAATGGACGTTGCAGGCAGCGCTTTCGGGAGGCTGGGGTTTGGCTGGGACACCCAGGCTCCCTCCCAATGCCCAAGGGAAATGCCATAGTGGGGGGCTGGCCGGGGTGGGTACAGTGGCACCGTCCAAGCCCGGCTGCTGGAGATGCTCTGGGCGCACTGGGTCCGCGGCTGGTGGGGCTCAGCTCTGAGCCGTTCTCTTCCCCGGCAGATCGAGGATGGCTGGTGGCTGGGCAGGAAGAACGGCCAGGTTGGTGCTTTCCCCTCCAACTTCGTCCAGGAGCTGGACAGGCTGCCCCCAGGTAGGAGGGAGCGGGGAGCGGCAATGGGGCTGGGTAGCTGGGCCTGGCTCCCTTCTCTTCCGCTGCCTTGATCCTCCCCCCAGGAGAGACCCCAGGCTGCAGCAGCTGTGACATGTGGAGGGGCTGATCTGGGAAGACCCCAAGGCGCAAAGAATGAGCTCCCCCAGTGCTGCGTCCCCACCAGCGGCGGGGGGCAGGGCCCCTGTGCTGGGAGCTGGCAGGTTGCTGGCGCTCTGGGTCAGAGCAGTGTCTGTGCCCCCCAGAGGGGCTGTCCCATCCCAGGTGCCCTGAGATAACCCGCTCCCCCCATGGTGTGTGCAGGGCTGGTGGCCCCAGAGCCCCTCCTGAAGAATGGGGCTGGGAAGCAGAGACCGAAGCTGACTGATGAGACCTTCATCATAAAGGAGGCAGAGAAGGTGAGTGTTTGGGTTGGGCAGAGGGACGGGGGGAGGGACAGTCCTGGGATTCACCTTCCGCCCGGAGCAGCCCCAGAGACTGGCTAGCTGGTGGCCTGACCCAGCAGGTGAACCTGTCTGGCTGCTCCTGGGCCAGGCCATAAAGCCCCACCCAGGGGTGGCCGGTTGGGCTGGGGCTGGTGGGCGCTTGCCCAGGCACTGCTGGCTACCCCAGGCTCCCGTGGGCCCAGGTTGGTCCTGCTCTAGGAGAGGGGGTCAGTGGGAGAGTGTGATGCAGTAGGGACCGGCGTGGATTGACCTGGGAATGTCTGTTAGTTTTACTGGGACTGTCTGTCTGCCCGGGGATTGGAGAGCCGGGGGTGCCTTTAGGTGAGGGACGGTACCTGAGCCTGTAACCTGAGCTAGGAAGGGGTGGGGTGGGGCGGGTCAACACCTTTGCCTGGGAAACTGGACAAAGGGAGAGGGGGAGAGAAGGAGGAGGAGAGAGCCTGCTGGAGGGGTTTTTGGTTTTCAGTTTGGGGCTGGCTGGGAACAGGCAGGAAACCCCAAGTCTGGGGTCTAAGATCCTTGCCCCCCAGAGGGACCTGGCTGAGGGGTCCTGGTTGTACCTACACGCTCTGCTTGGGACAGTGGTCCTGTCATCTAATAAACCTTCTGTTTTACTGGCTGGCTGAGAGTCACGGTGAATCGCAGGAAGTGGTGGGGAGGGTGCAGGGCCCTGACTCCCCCACATTCTGACAGAGTGTCTGCCTCCATTCTGGGGTGCTTGTGGGGGTGTGGAAGCTCAGTGCTCTGAGCACGCGCTCCCTCCTGAGACACGCACTGCCTGAGCACTAACGAGCCTTGTGTCTCCTCCACAGCCAGAGCCCCCCAAGAAGTTGGAGAAGCCCATCGCCGCAACCCAGAGCCCCCCGCCAAGCCAGCCCCTGCAGCCGTGTGAGTGAGGCCTGCCTGCGCTCCCCTGCCCCATGGAGCCTGCTGCCTCTGCTGAGTAGCAGTGTCACCTGTGGGGCCCTAGCTGGGGAGGGGCCGGCCCTGGGGCTGTAGTGGATGGGAAGGGAGAACCATGCCCCCAACAGTCCTCAAGGAGCGATTCCCAGCCACTGCCCCAGGGCAGGATGGATCCCCCCAGCCCAGGGGAGCCGCTTGCCCAGGGCCTCTGAGCTAGGCAGTGGTGGGGCTGGGATCTGGGTCCAGGCCCCCAGGCCTGTGCTCCCGCTGGCTCATGCAGCATCTGCAGGGCAGGAGCATGGACCCTTCCCCGCCCCCACTCGAGCAGGGTCTGATTCCCTGGCTGGGTTCACTGGGCTGGTTCCTAGAGCTCACCGGGGTGGGGGGGGAAGGTGTCCTTTCCCTGTGAGCAGCACAGCGCCCCCAACTGGTGACCCTGTGAGGCTTTCCTCTGAGCCCCTTCTCTCCCCTCCCGTCCAGACTGCGAGGCCGAGTACTGCAAGGCCATGTTCGACTACGAGCCGGAGCTCCAGGACGAGCTGCAGCTGAAGAGAGGAGACGTGGTTTTGGTTCTCTGCAAGGTGGGAGCTGGGGACGGTGGGGGGGCTGCCAGGGCAAGCTGTGATCCCCCTGGGGGGTGCTGATCTGCCATCTCACTGGTGGGGAAGCCAGCCCCCTCGCGAGCTGCCTGCCCCCCAGCCAGGGAGCAGCTCATTAGTGTGTCATTGGCCCATCACTGTGGCCTCTGGGCATGATACAGGGGACACAGAGCCGACAGCCCTGGCCCCTTTGCTCCACCACCCAGATGGGGAACCCCAAATGGTGGAGCCTGGTACTGGAGGGCGTGAGTCTCTGGGTCTCAGCCCCACATCTCCACTGCGCTCTGTTCCCTCGACACCCCGTCCTGTCTCGGAGGGGCTCCAGATCCCCCGGCTGGCTTCCCGGCTCCGGGAGCCCAGTTGAGCTGCTCTTGGTGCCAGTCCCGTCGGCACCGCTGGCTGCAGCTTCTGGGGGAAGGTACCAGTGCCAGCCGTCGTGCCCTGAAGGGGCCCCCAGCAATGCACCATCCCCGTGGGGCACAGGGCTGTGATCCCCTCCCTGCATGGAGGGAGCTGTGGGCATCACAACGCCCCCACAGTGCCTCTCTTTCACTGCCCCTCCCAACCGTGTCCCTGATGCCAGGGACCTGCTGGAGCCAGGGTGTTCGGTCCACTCTGAGCCCCTCCTGCTCAAGGGGTCTGGCCCTGGGTGGGCTCTGCTGGCCGTGCTGGGTGCCGTGAGGGAGCAGGGCAGGTTGGAGTGGGTGCCACCCCCTTGGGCTTTGGCCTGGTGTTCACCCCCTGTGCTCCGCGATGTCTGAGCCCGTGGCCGGGGTGCTGGGCCG